TGGCACGTGGTAGTCCAAGATTCAGAATCTCACCTCTTGCGGCTGCCTCCTGTAGTCACCCTTGTAGCCATAATCATGACATCTGACCCCAGCCAAGAGGGATGGAGACATGCGCTCAGCTGGACGCTGGAGATGGCTCACTTTTCCTCCCAAGAGCCTTATACATTGCCCTGGTGTTCCAGATGAAGAACACTGAAGCCAAGAAAGATTGGATACCTTGGCCAAGCTACTTCCACAGTGGCTAAGTGGCTGGCCTGAGGGCCCAGCCCAGGTACAAAGGAGGCAGGTCAACAAAAGTGAAGTGCGCTCCAGTGCTCCCCAGTCGCCCTTACTTTCATCTCGGCTGTTTGAAAATTACAGTGGAGGCACCTGTTCATTTCAAATAATAGGAAGCTTTGCAGAAAGAAGAGTTGACTGACTGTCTCCCCTCAAGCCCACCTCTGTGGCAGTGCGCAGTGCTGTGGGGGAGCGTCCGAGATGCCCCTCATTAAATAGAGGCCTGCTGGCCTTCCTGCAGGTGTCAATAGTCTTGTAAATAGATGTTGCCCCGTCCTTAATTAACTCACGCACAAGCAAGCCTGGTGAAAGCCGCTCTCTGGGCCCGATTGAAGGGTCTCTGGAGTAAACTGTGCAGGCTTGGTTTTGCTGCGCAGCTGTTACTTGCTTACCACCTGCACTGGCCGCCGGCCTACCCTGATGCCTGGAGTTAAAGTGTTAGGACTCGCAGCTTGCATTTTTACCAGTAAGGTCGAATTCCGGTGTTAAAACGCCTATGTTTTGGGGGGGTTTTTCCCTAGCTCTTTTTTTTTTTTTAATCGTTTTATTAGGGGCGCATACAACTCTATCACAATCCATACATACATCAATTGTGTAAAGCGCATTTATACATTCATTGCCCAAACGCCTATGTTTTATCTTTCACTGTCATTTCCCCAAATCTTAGGTTCATACAATAGCAAGCGGGTTATAGAAGGCATTTGTATAAGACCCTAATGAATAAGTGTGTATGTTAACCATGATCCTAAAACATCTACAGTAAATAGGTAATGCAGTAGGGTTGATTTCCTTAGCGCTTATAGTAAGTTGTATTCAGATAGCTGTTGAAACTTGGACACAAGCTGCCTTAGCATGAGACTGTGCTGAGGCTCATCTGTCAGCCCTAATACAGAGCTCAGCATAGCCTCTGCCTGATCCCATCAGTGCCGTTGATCATGACATAGGCTTCTGAACAAAGCCCAGACGTCACTGCCCGAGGAAAGGGACAGCGACCTCTCTCAACTGCTTGGCTGTGGAAGAACAATAAACTCTTTTTTGGAGCCCAAATAGTGCACGTGCTAAGAAAAGGGCGCGGCTGCCAGCACCCCCGGCACTTCTCTCATCCCACATATTTCTGCGTGTGGCACTCTCAGAATGGCATGGGTGGGAACAAATATGAGAAGTGTGGGATGGAGAATGAAGCTCTGTGGACATGCAGGCACGAATCCGAGACCATCCTAAGGGCACTGATAGCCATGTAAAATCCTAACTGAACTCCATCTTTTTTTTTTAGGAGTACTGTGTTGTCTTAATTGATAGTCTCTGTTTTGCCTCTCTGGGTTCTAATGTCCATTGCAATGGCTACACAGAACTCACAAACAAAATTTATAATTAAAGGGTTGTTGTTGTTTTTAAGAAGTCAACAGTTGTAATGGCAGTGAGAAATACCCAGGGTAAAGTTGATGATTAGGACATATTACAAACTTCTTTCTGGTCCCAAAGGAGCATACCACTGCCACCTGACGGCATTCAGTTCAAGCCCCACAGGTCAGCAAACCCAGATCCCCAAATCAAGTGCCCAGGGGTACCCCACTCCACAAGCCAGCCTCCGACACAAAAGCACTCAGCTTGATTTATCCACCCCTCTGCGCTGGACTCTGGCTCCTGCTGCGGCTCCTCTGATGGTGTAAGTATCATCTGGAGCCAAGAGATCCACT